CGTAGATTCATCATACCTCGACTGCAATGGGCTTTTTCATCACCGGCGGAAATGTTGTCTGCACCGCTGACTGTACAGGGGGGAGGTTTTTCACATAGCCAAGCGCCGCCATTTGATCGACCGTAAGAGTGCCAGTCTTTCCTTTACGTCCACGTCCTGCCATTGCTCAAATTTCTTGCTTGCTCAAATTACATTGCCTTTGTCTTTTTAAAGCAATTACACTTTAAATTGTGTTTGCCTATTTCAACTCACTGCATATTTCACTAGGCAACACTTTTTTTTTTCAGAGGTAGTCCTTTTATTTTAGATAGCTTAGTTAATATCCAGTCCTTCATTTTCATTCATTTTTCATTTTTCCCCCAGGGGAGAACGCCATAGACCCTCCCTATAGCCGCTTTAATTTAGAAGTGTCAAAGTCAAACCATGAAGGGAACCATTGTTAAGTTCGGTGAAGTCGAGTGTATTGTTTTATATATAATTATGTACCTTTTTGTTCAAAGTGACCGCCACGATAATGCGCTATCGATCCCTAACAACACTGTGCAACCCTGCTGCTCAGAAGCGTATATCGATGTTCTTCTATCTCAGTCTCTTTGGAAAAGTCTCTCTAAAAAAGCGTCTCTCTCTCGTATGTTCCTCGTGAACTGTGATTATAGTAATTATTTTTGTATTGTGCCACATAATAAAAAACATTTAACACTTCTCACCTTTAACAAAAAGTTATTAAATTGCCCTGTATTCAGTTAAAAGTTCAGCAACAATGGAACATAAGGCTTTAAAGATATAAGACAAACATGACCTGACATAAGTGTTTTCGAGATTTGTTTACAAAATTTTAAAATTCTACGTATTATACAATAGCCAAGATATATTGCATTAGGAAAAAAATCGATTTTCATTTTCGTTCGACGGTTCCTGGTGCGGGCGCGCTGGTTAATTATCAATATAGCACAACACTCTATAACCTCTGACCGCGGCCATGTTGCATACACCAGTCTACGGATAGAAAAATCACTATTACAAAAGATCGAAACCAATTTTGAAATTTTGTTTCATTCCCATTGATAGAATATTTTGGCTTTAAAATGTGTAATTTTGCATACATAACCACTCATTGAATTATATTTATGTAAGCATTAGGGGAAAAGAAACTCCCGGCTCACTCGCTCGCACCAATATGAGTAAAATATAGAGATAATAAGAAAAAAGATTCGATCGGATCAGAAAAAACCATATATTTATTTATTCATTATTTTCGCTCTTAAAACGCTCCTTAGGGAACACGGCTATATACATAAATGTTTGTTATTACATAAATTTAAATGGAAGCTTTTAATTTTCCGCATCACAGATAAATACTTGGGAATTCCGATAGTGGTAATGAAACAACAATTTCTTGACAGCCGGAAATATTATCTGAACACTTTCTTTCCTCTCTTGGAAATTGTGACGAACAGAGAAAAACGTGTGTAAATTTGATTAATATTTCATCAAAAATGGCAAATGAAAATACTTGCAAATCGTTCAAAATTGGCGATCTGGTATTTGCCAAAGTCAACGGTTACATACCATGGCCGGCAGTGATTACCAATGAGGTGAACTCAAAAAATTCAGTACACTGTGCTTTTTTATGGCACGAGAGAGACTGGCTACAGACCAATTCAAGACCTCTTGCCGTACGCCGATAACAAGGAAGAGTACTCCACTAAAGAGTACATGAAGCGAGCCGGCTTCCGTAAGGCTATGATTAAAATTAATGAAGTGGCTGAAGAGAAGGCCAATGGCCCAAAACATGTGGACGAAGAAACCGAAGAGCAGCTAAAGACAACTGCAGCCGTTACTTCCTTCCAAGAGCCATCTCGCCCAGCAAACGTAAGTAAATAAGTTCAAGAAGACAATCCAAAATACAACTCTATAAATTTTGCAGTAGAACTTTGTCCACGGTGGTGTCGTCTTCTTGAGCTGTAGTTGAATTGTGCAGAACTACAAATGCTGGGTACTATACAAAAGAAATGAATTTAAGAAAATATTCGTTATTAATTTATTTGATGTTTTTACCTTTAACAGTATAGTTGGTTTTATTGGGTTTCAGCGGGCGCTGGAGTATTTTCTTCTCCGGCTTTAATGAGGTTGTTGTACATGCGCTCGTCCAATGCGACGCGTAGACTTGACTTCACCTTTTTAGTGGTTTCCTTGAAAATTTTGACCTCCTTGCAGTACTCTTGCCAAATGTCTTTAGTCTCAGCTGAGTCGAACAGCTTTGGGAAGCGCGCGTATATGATCGTGGCCTCTTGACGAATGATTTTGGCCTGTGCCTCAAACTTAATCTTGTCGGAACGGGGCATCTTCCATTTTTTCAAATTGCCAACATATCCTTGAAGCTTGCGCAGCGTATCCACACTCTCTGGATGCCGCAGCAACATTACCTTGGTCAACTCCAATTTTTTTAATCGACCCAGGTTCTTTAGACATTTAGTCACATGGGCTTGCCGCAGCGGCAAGCATTGTCTGATCTTCGCGCATAGGTCAGAGAAATCCCGCTCTATAGTTAGAGCATTCTCAAGTTTGAGGATATCCTTCATTAGTTTCCGTTCCTCCTTCCTGCCTGTCTCGTTGGGCGAAAGCTCAACGATAATGCGTCCTGGAAGCGATTTGGAATCGAGTTGTCCAGACAACATCTGCTCCTTCTGTACTTTGGCCTCTTTGCGTGACTCATTTATCCATGACTGCTCCGCAGCGGCATTTTCAAAACTCTCCGGCTTGTGGTTGATGTTGATGCCAAAGACCTTGCCATATGACAAGTACACCAACACCATGTTATTTTCTTCATTCTGTGTAGAAATCATTTTGTATTGTATTTTGGATTGTCTTCTTGAACTGATTTACTTACGTTTGCTGGGCGAGATGGCTCTTGGAAGGAAGTAACGGCTGCAGTTGTCTTTAGCTGCTCTTCGGTTTCTTCGTCCACATGTTTTGGGCCATTGGCCTTCTCTTCAGCCACTTTATTAATTTCAATCATTGCCTTGCGGAAGCCGGCTCGCTTCATGTACTCTTTAGTGGAGTACTTTTCCTTGTTTTCGGCGTACGGCAAGAGGTCTTGAATTTGTCTGTAGCCAGTCTCTCTCGTGCCATAAAAAAGTGTACACAGTGTACTGCTTATTTGAGTTCACCTCATTGCTAACCACTGCCGGCCATGGTATGTAACCGTTGACTTTGGCAAATACCAGATCGCCAATGTTGAACGATTTGCAAGTATTTTCATTTGCCATTTTTGATGAAATATTAATTAAATTTGCACACGTTTCGCGCTGTTCGTCACAATTTCCAAGAAGGGAAAGAAAATGTTCAGATAACATTTCCGGCTGTCAAGAAATTATCGTTTCATTACCACTATCGCAATTCATCGGAGTTCCCAAGTATTTATCTGTGATACGGGAAGATGTGGGATTGGAAAATTAAAAGCTTCCATTTAAATTTATGTAATAACAAACATTTATGTATATAGCCGTGTTCCCTAAGGACCACGTATTTTGTTAAAATAATTGTTTTAAGAGCGAAAATAATGAATAAATAATTATATGGTTTTTTCTGATCCGATCGAATCTTTTTTCTTATTATCTCTATATTTTACTCATATTGGCGCGAGCGAGCGAGGCGAGTGAGCCGGAGGTTGCTTTTCCCCTAATGCTTACATAAATATAATTCAATGAGTGGTTATGTATGCAAAATTACACATTTTAAAGCCAAAATATTCTATCAGTGGGAATGAAACAAAATTTCAAAATTGGTTTCGATCTTTTGTAATAGTGATTTTTCTATCCGTAGACTGGTGTATGCAACATGGCCGCGGTCTTATAGAGGTTATAGAGTGTTGTGCTATTTTGATAATAAACCAGCGCGCCCGCACCAGGAACCGTCGAACGAAAATGAAAATCGATTTTTTTCCTAATGCAATATATCTTGGCTATTGTATAATACGTAGAATTTTAAAATTTTGTAAACAAATCTCGAAAACACTTATGTCAGGTCATGTTTGTCTTATATCTTTAAAGCCTTTAAAGGTGAGAAGTGTTCAATGTCTTTTATTATGTGGCACAATACAAAAATAATTACTATAATCACAGTTCACGAGGAACATACGAGAGAGAGACGCTTTTTTAGAGAGACTTTTCCAAAGAGACTGAGATAGAAGAACATCGATATACGCTTCTGAGCAGCAGGGTTGCACAGTATTGTTAGGAATCGATAGCGCATTATCGTGGCGGTCACTTTGAACAAAAAGGTACATAATTATATATAAAACAATACACTCGACTTCATCGAAATTAACAATGGTTCCCTTCATGGTTTGACTTTGACACTTCTAAATTAAAGCGGCTATAGGGAGGGTCTATGGCGTTCTCCCCTGGGAGAAAAATGAAGGACTGGTCACTGGATGTTAACTAAGCTACATACATATGTGAAAAAAGCACTACCTCTAAAAAAAACAATAAAAAAACCAGTGTTGCCTAGTGAAATATACAGTGAGTTGAAATAGGCAAACACAATTTAAAGTGTAATTGCTTTAAAAAGACAAAGGCAATGTAATTTGAGCAAGCAAGAAATTTGAGCAATGGCAGGACGTGGACGGGTGAGAAAATGGCAAGCAAGCAGTTTAAACATTTGTAGCAATTTTCGAGCAATCGAGCACCCACACAGACAGGCGCAGGAGTTTGAGCCTTCCATTACCGTGGCAGGCCAAAGATTTACTAACTTATGTTCGTCCAAGCTATTCCAGCTTGTGTCGGCGCTGCCTACCTCGGAAGCGGCCACCACCAGCACTAAATAGTGAATGGAAGGATTGAGTAGTACAGCCAGCAGAACACCAAATACAATGCCATCCTCAGTGCGAGTTCTCGGCCAAAATCCATAGTCGATGGATTCCCATTTTGCATCTCCAGTCATCTGCAGAACCCCCCTTCACTCTTCAAGAATTGGGATTAAGTCACATATCCCTATAATTATATATTTTACTTGAAATCTGAATTGGCAGCATAGTTAATCAGAGATCCAACACTAGCTAATTATATGACGGGGCCATCAGACAGGTTGTCATCCTCTTCGCTGAAGTCTTCGCCATTGTCGAAATAGCTATTCCCATAGTCGTTCTCGTCATCCATTTCATGGTCTAGTGCGGCCTCAGGATCGTCCATTTCGTCGTCCTGTTCCATATCAGATTCCTTCTCGGCATCATCTTGCTCACTCTCAGCATCGTCTTGCTCTTTCTCGGCGTCGTCTCGCTCTTTCTCGGCGTCGTCTTGCTCATGCTCGTCGCCTGTCTTCAACTCCGTCTGTTCTAGAACTTTCAGACTTTCTTCAATGTTGGTCTTCTTGGCCAGCAACTTGGGTTGCGGATCCTCGCCCTGTCGCTTGGTATTCGACATGTTTAGTTCCTTGGGCATGGTTTTGTAGTTAAACTCGGGCAGCTTTTTCACCTTCGCTTGCCCCAAAGCTTTCTGCAGGTGCGCGGGGAACTAATTATTTGCCCATTATACAAACGTACAAGATTAATTACCTCTCGACCGACCTTCTGCTCTGAATTTTCCTGGCTCTCTGAAACAATGTAATACGGCGAGTCCCGCATGCGATTCAAAAACTTTGCCTTCCACATCAGCTGATAGGCCTCTGCTGCTGTTGTCTGTCAGAGATATATAGTCAAGATGTAAATTATTAATTCTGAGTGGGCTCTTTCGTAGATTCATCATACCTCGACTGCAATGGGCTTTTTCATCACCGGCGGAAATGTTGTCTGCACCGCTGACTGTACAGGGGGGAGGTTTTTCACATAGCCAAGCGCCGCCAATTGATCGACCGTAAGAGTGCCAGTCTTTCCTTTACGTCCACGTCCTGCCATTGCTCAAATTATTAGCGCCCAATTGATTCAGAAACTTTCGCACGCTTTTTTCACTTTAAAATGTGGCAGCGCTACCACCTCGTCGCAAAACAATTTGCCAGTCACAGACAATCGCGAAAACATATGTTTGTCAGGGTTGTCATTCAACTGATTCAAATTTGTTGCTTTCAAAGCGGAGAGTTGCCAAATGCAATAGTTCTTTTTGGTAACTTTTGTACAAAAATATCTGTCTTGATCTCTAATGAAAAAAATAAAATAAACGAAGATCAACATTTCAGAAAATGTGAAAAAAGTGTTTGAATAATGAAATCTCTAGAAATCTAGAAACTCTGGGGGTGGACTTTAAAGCACCCTTTAACAAACATGTAAAAATTATTTATTGCGATTTCTATTATTCTACTGAATAAAGAAGAGTATATAAAAAAATAAACATTACAGAGAATTTCCATTGTGCTTTGGGCAAGCACCAGATACATATCAAAAGGAATATTGTATTATTCCATTCACTAAGATATTGGTTGGTCGTCGAGGTCGATGGCTGTTAGTGGGCGCCGGGCCCACATTTTGCAATGAACCTCTATCCGCATGTACATATGTACATTGGAGAAATGTTTGGAGTGTCCGGCTATGTTTATGGCCGGCTTCCTATTTCACCATTCATTAATAAAGTGAGAACTTAAGTGGCGCAAACTCCATATTTGAAAAACAATTAACTAACTGCATGCAAGAACTGTGATAAAAAGATAATATAACAATAGCCTAACTTATAAGAATATGAGTGCAGCATGTACGTACATATGTTATTAAGAGCGAAAGCTATTTGCAGCTGCGTCGTCCGATCCAACCGAGGCGCAAGTGGTGATGGCAATCGAAAAGAGGGGGAGAGGCTGTGCGGGCTCGTTAGATGGTGCGAGCGACAAAAGCATTTAACGCCCTCTCTATCATTAGATCGTACATGCACGAGGCCGTGCCGAGTAAAGACAACTGCAAGAACTACATACATACATACATATATGCTTCTTTATTCGCATGGCCTCTTTGAATATTTGATAATTCGCTTTTAAAAGCTTTTCATTGACGTAGACAACAGCTTCCAAGTCGAAACCAAAGAACTGCAAGCTCAGTTGTCTCTTGCTCTCGCGCCGGTAAACCGCAATCTTTCTGAGAAGCTTGATCTTTTCGCGGACGCTATACACTTATAACGGGATCAACTTTCATAAAAATGTGAATAATTGTTTTTTTTTTTTTTTGTAATTCGGTGTTTTAATGAGAATGTGCTGAAAAACAAATCTTCTTTTTTGTCGTATCGTTTGCCTTTCCACTAATATTACGCGAAAAAACCACTCATGATAAATAAAAGGGTTTTTAAATCTTTACCAAACGCCAGTAAATCCAATGCCTGGCACAACACCTGGTGAGTGACAGTACTTCAGGACTGCCCAAAAACAATGGTAAAGCGAGTGTGGGAAAGCTTTTTATAGAGCTTCCACTGCAGTGGAATTTTCGCAAATAATTTTTTGCCTGTGTAAAAGAAATCTGAATCGATGCTAAAGTTAATAAATGATTGAAATATTTTAGCTGAAATGCGTTTAAGTTATCTCTAAAGATGAAAGCTTACAAGAAAAAAATCAAAGTTTAGACAATACATATTATTATCGATTTATTCCCACAGACTCGTTTCGTAATGATTTTAGAAATTTATTTTTCTAACTATTCAGTGGAAAATAGCTAAAGTGAACACTTTTTACATAGACTGTAGTTATATGAATTCTGTGGAAGTACAAATTAAGTAAAAGACTGACTACTAAAAAACTAATTGATTCAAAAACACCTGTTTTTTTTATAATTTCACACTTTGGTTATCTCTAATTAAATCACTTCCCTGACTTTTCCTCTGCAAACTGCTGTAGCTAATTGAAACAAATGAATTAATGAAGGCAATAAAACAACCAACTTTGGCTCGAATGGTTTCATAAACCAACATAGTGGTTGCTCCTCGAGGCCCCCTGTCTTCTCTTACGACAATTCATTTTCGCTCTGATGCCTTCCACACCAGACCAGACCGAACCAGGGGCAGGACCACACCAAACTCGACCAGAATCAGTACCAGGACCAAAGCCAAACTTAACTGCTTCCCCCCGGGCTCTTGGGTCCTGCCATCCGACCCGTCTGCCCCGACAGCCCAGTCTGCCTCCTGTTGTGAGCCATAAGGAGCACAGCTGGAAGCTTTTCACAGTTTGCCTTAGTTTTCTTTTCGGTTTTTGTTTTATTATTATTTTTGTTTTTATTTTACGTAATTAAAAGCAATTTAGTGTGCCGCCGCCACTTTACGACAAGCACATGGCACACTTGTTGGCGGAGGATAGGGCCGAGAGCTGTCAGTCTTGGCCCTTGGCATCGTCGAATGAAATTATTCCTACATTCGGTAGAGTATGTTTTAGTAAATCAAGCTATTTTCCGAATAATAAATATGTTCAGTAATAAGTATAATTTTAAAAATGAAATATTCATAGACAAAAGCATATTAATTCACGGCCGTCCCATAAAACAATCTGACAAAGTGTTGTAAATTTTGACAGGCGCTTGCAAAATGCCAGAGTTTTGACAGTTTTATCCATTTGATTTAAATGGAAAGACAGTCGAATGGAACTTCACAGACACTGCAAATTTAGGGTTAGATTTTCATTCAAGACCTTATCAATTCTGTGCCTGAAATTGCATCTGCTAGACTATGCAACGATATGAGAATTCAATTTAACTGATTTGCAAGTGTGCAGATGAAATGTCCATTGTGCCTTGGGTCTCCGGAGGCTAACCTTTGGATAAAACCACACACACGCGAAGCTCTAGAGGCTTGGCCAGGATAAATAGAAGGGGCCTGGCCTACCTGCACTTGCACCCAGCCAAATGGTTGCCATAAGTCATTGACGTGCGGTTTATTTCGTCCTAGTATTTGCTGCAATATTTATCCCCAGCTGCAATTCCCGTACCTACCTCCTATCGTTGCTCCAGTTCCAACTCCGACTCCCATTCCTACTCTCATCTGCGATTCCTGCGGCACTTTAACAATGCGTACAAGTCTCGCACAGTTTCCCAAGGAGAGATTAATTAAAAAAAGGCTGCAGCTCTGAATCGCCCAACTATTAAAAATGCATATTCCCATGGCGGGGGGAAAAGGAGGGCATCCTAACCAGACAACAGGCGACGCTTAACCATTGTCTAAGCACTGCAAGCAAAATGTCAGGAAACGGCAGCAGAAAGCATTTGCAATGGCAACAGAATGACGCCCCGAGTGTTCACAGCAATTCATTGGACTCCGACGAGGGGGCGACAAAGACAAAAGAAGTGGGCGGAAAAAAAACAAGAGAAACGAATACCCGACCCATGGAGAATACTCTTACGGAATGATTTTTTGCTTCAAATATTTTTAAAGCTGAGTCGAGACCTATAAACTATGTAATGTCAACGGTTGGGTCCTTTACAGCTGGATGGATGGATGGATTCGGAGTCAGCAGGGGCCTGCGGTCGGAGTCTGGCCCGTATCTGCCCCTTGGCTTTTATTGGATTGCAGTTGTGGCCACAGTTATTTACGCTCTTCTAGCCGATGGGACTTGGCCACACTGTGTAAATATGTGGGAGAGATGACCATCTCCACCTGTCCATCTCACCTGTCACCCATCCCCACTAGCAACTTCTGCTGCCGCGGGGCCACTATAGCAATTTCACAGCAGTTGATTGAAGATACCACTCAGGGTCCTCATGATTCAACATTGATGTTCTGTTTGGGGGCAGGTAAATATTCGTATAACGGCAAGTGCTCCGAGGAAATGTTGATCAAGCTTATTAGTTATGCACAACATTAACGCAATGACGTCTTGTGCAAAAAGAGAGTGAATGACGGTTCCTTAAATTATTAAAATTATATTTGCAAATAACAAAACTCTCTGAAGAACTTGAGAGGACGAAAGCTATCATACCAAAAGAGTAAGAGTGGATCTGATCTTTGTATAGACGGCTACTTTTAGGGTTGGGAATACCTTCTGCTTGGCAAGGTTATCAGTTAGTTCCCAAAAATATTCCCAAATTATTCGAGGTAATAGTTGCTTCATATGTTTATCATGGTTCCTACCAAACTACAAACAGACACTAATCAATCCACCAGTTATATCCTGTCTGTGGCTCTGTGGAAGTGTGTGGCAAACTTTGTTTCCACTATTTACATATGTATACATACATATATGTGCAGTTTATACAACTGCGGTTGTGTGCGCGGGAAAAAAGTGAGGGCTTGCGACCGTCCAACTGATAAATTTTCAAATTTGCATCCTAATGAATACCGTGAGTCCGCGTAACAGAGGCACCAAAACTTTTCATTTTATGCGTGTGCGTACTCCTAACTTTAGTGCAGGTCAAAGCCGGCCACAGCATCCAGTGGCTATCCACACTTTACATTAAACATAAATGGTATGTGGAGATCCACAGTTAAGCCGCTCGTTAAACAGTGAAAAGTGCTGTTTGTTTGAATATTTTAATAATTACTATGGAAAATAAAGTTTTACGATGAAATATTAAGTTACTACATTAACTGTGAAAAGTTTACCGAATCCCCAAAATTAAAAGGTATAGTTGGTGGAAAATAATTCAGAAATGTGCAAACTTTGTTGCCAAATTTTACATGAAAATTAATTTAATTATGTGAACATTGTGGGAAGTTTTTTGTAACTTTTTTAACTGAAATATGAGGTTATACTGTTTTTTAATTGGCGTAATTATCAGTGCAAAGATAGAAAGGATTCTAGAGGCATAAGATGGAGTCTTTTCATTTTAATTTTTAATTTTAAATATTCTATTGATAAAGTTAAACATTTAGTCAAAGCAACAGGCACTAACCAAAACTCTTTCTCCTTAAAAATATTCCATCTTTCAATTCAGTTTTAGCTTCTAATGATGCTCATGAAATGTTCTTTTTATTCTTTTCTTTTACTAAAATCACTTAAAAAGCTTCAGTTTTGCAGACTTTACAGATCATCCATGACCCCAATTCATTCTGAACTCTAGTCTTTCTTTTCGATCCCACTTTTACCCAATTATCTATGCAATTTCATTGTTGATT